TACCACTACTGTGCATGTGTGTCAAGGACAGAAAGGCAGATGTGGCAGTGGAAGGTGTCAAARCAGTTTGGAGAGAAAAACAAAGTAAAGAACAAAAAAAAAAAGAAAACGATTAATCGATTATTAAATTAGTCATCGATTATTTTAATAATCGATTAGTTGCCGATTAATCGTTGCAGCCCTAATAGGAATACAAACCTCTTACTTTAAAGCTTTTTAGAGTTTTTAACGTTGAATTACTTAGATAATATCAAATGTCTCAAAAATAAGTGGTACAGTGGATCATAAGAATCCAGACCTATATTTTAATATGTTGGTTTTGTTTTGTGCAGGACTGTGTTACCTTTGAGCCCCCTGACACAGTCCTTCTGAAGCCTCCCAGTTTGTCCTTGTTGGCGAGACTCAGCTCTGAAAAATCCCTTCCACAGACGGGACAGCGCTTCCAGTTCTCTAAGGTCAGTCTCAACTGGCTGATAACACACACTTCTGACAAACAACCTACAAATGAAAGCTGGTATTTGAATGTTTCTGCTTCGTTTGGCTCCATGTATTAACTTGCCCTGAAAGGTGTACGGCCCACAAACGACACAGAAAGAGCTGTTTGAAGGCACAGTGAAAGACTTAGTGAAAGATGTGCTGGAAGGAGGAAATTCCCTGGTTTTCACATACGGAGTCACAAACTCGGGCAAGACTTTCACATATTTAGGTACAGTAAAATCCTGCGTGCATTTTCAAACTGTAGCATTTCTAATTACTGTATGTGAGATGTTTTATGTAAGGTAGAAACAACTTCCTGTAGTCCAGGCATTTGCAGCTATTTTTCATTAACATCACATTTAAAATGCACATTAAGTCCCAGAGTGAGCCTCTGAGATCAGTGTCCTAACAGTCGATGTGTGTCTGCCGCTGAAGGTCCAGACTCAGACGCCGGCGTCCTGCCCCAGTCTCTGGATGTGATCTTCAGCAGTATCGATGAGCGTGTTTTTCCTAGCATGAGCGTGAAACCTCACCGCTGTCGAGAGTTCACAAGACTGAGCAGGGAGCAGCAGGCTGAGGAAGCACTGTTCAAGAAAAACCTCCTGAGACAGCTGAAAGAGGTAAACAGCATCTCATCAGGATTTTCAGACCTGCTGCTGTAATAAGGTGGATAAGATTAAAGCTGGTCTTTAAAAGAAGTGAAAAACTGATGCAACAGATGAACTGACTTACAGTAGAGACGTGTTTTTAAACACGTTTTAAAGTTTGCATGGAGGTGAGCATATTCTCACAGCAGGTCAGAAGTGTGCGACACTGCTGTGATACATCCCAACAAGTGAGTGGAAATGGGGCTCACTCAACCTTTTTGTGTGCACACACCCTTCATTCAATCTTGTTAGAATTAGAAACACATTTAAAAAGACAGTGAGCCCTGAATTTATTTTAATATTGAAGTCTGGCCTCATAATATCATGAATCCAGGAAACACTGATTCCTCCGTAAAAATGGGTCAAGACCAGTCATTTTTTTGTTCTGATTGTCTTAAAAATAGACCTTTAGTTTTCTAAATGCCTCCATTTTGGTTTACAATTCTAGTTCTCTTTGTTTTGGACTGTTATTCCAGTTCAATATAACTTGGTTTTCTGAAAAAGTTTAACTAGTGTGTGTTTATATTTGTGTGTTAATCAGAATGTGTTTCATTTTAGATTGAGAAGAGCAATGCCAGTGCATTGAATATGACCAATCAAACTCTGCTTGATGGTAAGTTTCATATTTATCTATAAAAGGCAACACTAACAGAAATACTGATATAATCTTTTCTACTGTTTTTGTCACAATTTTTGATTTGCTGCTACTCCAGGGAAAAAAGAACTTGAAAATGTGCAGCTTGATCAGAAATAATCTGAGTTTTGGTAAAAGTGATGTGAAATTAATATGAGGTGACTGAACTTTGTTTTTAAAAATGTTTCAGCAACATTAACAATGGGATTTTGGTAAAACAAGTGAGCTCTTATGAGCTCTGTATTTCAGACATACTTTACTGTAGAAACATTATTTAAAGTTTGACTGTGTCACTGAAAAGTGCATTTTACACAACAGATATGACATTTTTGACATTTTTTATGTTTTTACAGAAATACAGTTTAAGCTTTGAGTTTTGGAGATTTTAGCACAAAATGTTCAACTTGTAGTGCTGTTGGAACCTTCAAAAATATTTTGCATTCACTCTCTCCATGTCCACAAACTTCACAATTTTTTGATAGTTATTAGAGCTGGGCGATATGATCAAAATTTTATATCACGGTATCTTCAACATTTTCACCGGTTTCACGGTATTTGACAGTATTTTTCTTTTCATCACAGCTCAGCTGATAATAAAATGTACAAACCCTGCTTATTGACTTTTTTTCTTTTACTGTACCTCTGTCTGTGTCTCTGTTTCCCTCCTCTGTATCTGTTCTTCTCTGACTGGTGGTTTTAGACAGTAGTCACGCATTTTGGTCCAGTCGTGAAGGAGGAGGGTTAAGAAAAGATTATGATCGGGTTTATTGTTTTATGTTATTTATTAAAGCTTATCAGCACGACTCACCTTGCACACCAGTCAATTCTAACTCAACTAGCTGCTTCAAACATTAGCATGCTAACGCACATAGCGGTGCAGCAAGGAAAAATGTCCGCTGGGAAACAACAGTTCACTGGCGGCCGCGACGAAACGTTCCGCTATTTAAACCGGAATGTCCGTTATTCAAAAAATTCATATCATAACAAAAATAAAAACAGGTATTCGGTACAAAACGGTATACCACCCAGCACTAATAATTATTAGATCAAAACGCACATTGTTGTCTGTTTTCTCCATGTGTCTCACTGCAGTTTTATGGTTTTTCCCTTAAACACCAGCCGAGTGCAAAGAGTGCAACAACCGAACTTTCTTTGTATTTGAGCTCTGAATCTTTTTTATTTTTTCAAAATTATAAGTAAAAGGGTCTTATTACAAAAACATAACAGAAACATAAAAATGACTATTAGTTCCTTCAGCCACAAGCAGAAGGTTTTCTTTTGATTTTGTTTCTCTTTTCATTTTTTTACAGTTAAAAACATTGACATTTTGTCAAATTATGTTATTATAAAAGTGAGTCCCAAGTTATGTTGGTCTTTAGAGAAAAAAAATATGGCTGTTGGATTTTTAGACAGAACCAACATTGGCTACGTTCACACTGCAGGCAAATCTGACCCAAATCCGATTTTTTTTGACCCATCTGACTCGTATTCGATTTTTTTATGACAGTCTGAATGCGACAAATCCGATTTTTTTCAAATCCGACCCAGGCCGTTTCAGTATGTAGTTTTAAATCGGATATATATCTGATGTTTTCAAAGCGACTGCAGTGTGAACGCTCATGTCACATTCATCTGACGTTTTCATCAGTGAGGAGGGGGTGAAGGATCGATAAGACACTAACCTCAAGTCTCGCTGTTTTAAATCTGTAGCTCCGTGTGTTTACAGCTCCAAAACACAAGTCCAGTTGCTTCATCTTTTTACTTTTCATTTTCCACGTATATAGTATGATAATAACGACGTCCAGCCTGGGTCGCGGAGAGTATCGATCCTAAAGTTAGCTACTCAGTCGATACTTTTTTTCAGCTCGTAGTTTCGTTAAAAAAAAAGCTTCACTGGAGCATCCCGGTCAGAGGCAGCTTCAGATATAAACACTGAACTCAAGAAGCAGGTCAGATAATTATTTAATCGGCTCTGATTAAACAACAACTTCTGATTCGATGCGCAAAATGTAGCCTCCATGCTAGCTCTGTAAACAAACAAGCCGGCTAATGAGACGTCACGTCTTTTACTGCGCATGCGTGTCACATCAGTGCTGTGTTCGTTCACACAGGGGTCTGATGCAGGTCACATTTAAAATGTAATGTGAACGTTCACACAAAAAGATCGGATTTTTTCAAAAAATCGGAACTGAGCATTAAGACCTGCAGTGTGAACGTAGCCATTGACACCTTTCAGAATTTCTATAGAAACGTTATTATTTTTTCAATGTTTTCTTTTTATTATGATATTTTCCAAGGCTCCACGGTGACAGAAACAGCAGCGTCAGCAGGAGAAAAAATCAGCCTGAATGTTGACACAAACACTAAGTTCTCTGTTTGGGTTTCTTTCTGTGAAATCTACAATGAGAACATTCACGACCTTTTGGAGGTGGCCCCCAGCGGGGCCCCGAGGAGGACTGCACTGCGCCTGTCGCAGGACGTCCAGGGCAACGCCTTTGTCAAAGGTCTGAATGATGAAGAAGTTAAGGCTTATTAACTGTATGGAAACTTTTTTAACACCTGAGATCTTTTAGCTGTCACGTTTAATACCCTGCTTTTGTTTGTGCTGTTCAGATTTACGCTGGGTTCAGGTGAACAGTGCTGAAGAGGCGTACAGAGTGTTGAAACTGGGCAAAAAGAACCAGAGCTTCTCTTCCACTCGACTCAATCACCTCTCCAGCAGGAGGTAAAAACTGAAGTCATGGTTGTACTTCTGTCTCATCTTATTTTTATTCCACCTTGTTACACACAAAGGTGTTACCATTTTTCTCTCGTACAATTAAACAGTAAGAAGTTGTGTTCATTACTTTACAGGTGAAGCAGTTTCCTGAGACAGATTCAGATTTAAACTGGAACATTTGATTGGACCAAAAACAGACCTGAGCCCGTATTTATCAAACCTCTGAGTGGAATTTTACACTTAAGTGCTGAAAATTTCTTAGATTTCCTTCTATGCTCAGACTTAAGTGTAAAAGCAAGTAATCAAAAAAGAATCACTCTTAATCTCCTGAAAATTAATGACTGCTCCAGAGGTCTTTGAAGTGGTTATGGACTGAGAAGACAGAGATCACAGCTGTGTCCTCCTCAAGAATACACTGCACCACTTCAGAAACTGCACTAAGTGGTCCAGGGGTCTCAACTGAGTGTTTTTCTCAGTTATCATGAACAGAGTAACTAAAATAAGGTGTGGAAAACAAGTTAGTCATCAATACAAAAGAAAGAAGGGAGAGAAAAATGATTACCACTGCCATAATGTTGGACTAAAAGGTGTATATTTCTGTTGGTGAGTGAAAGCAGACATGAAGCTGTCAAAAATGTTGTTTTTTCAGACAGGTTTAATGAAAGAAACCCCGAGTTTCCACCTGCCCCCTCCCACCTGAAACAAGCTGTCCCACCTGAGTTTTTCATTTTTAATGAGTCTGATTGATTTACTTTATAGGACCTGATGTCAGGAGAGGATTTTTCTGTCCAGGTTGGATGAGTTCTCATTCCCAGATATGGTTTTGTTTAGTGTTGCTTTTCATTGGATTCACTCATTTAACCCAGTAATATTCACAGTATATTCACAGTATATTCACAGTATATTCACAGTATATTCACAGTATACGTAACACCACAGATGTGATCATTAAAGCAAGTGTTATCCATCGAGTGAGTTATAAAATACAGAAATTAATTTGATGAATAAAACATCTCCACACAAATAAAAACAAGTAATTCTGTTTCACTTAATTATCTTTATATGCTGCAAAATAAAAAGATTAGCAAAGATTTATAATATGTGACCCATCACATCGAAACAAGGATCAAGTCTAAAAGTGGTAAATGGAGAAAAAGGCAAATATAGTGTTTGGACTAAAATGTTAACAAAAATTGCATTTTGTCAAAATATAATGAATAAAAGCCTTATTAATGTATCATTGAATGAACCTTCTGAAATATAATCATAAAACAAAATTTTGAAGCACTTTTTTGAGCAGTAGCAGCAAAAAAACTGATTTTGAGGAAAAACGCCTTAAAATTTTGAAATTTTCCCTGCGAGCTGACAAAGTTTTTTTTTTTTTTTTAGCTGGGAAATCTCAATATTCAAATATAATATGAGGTTTCCTCTTTATAAGGACATCAAAAATTCCTCAATAAAATGACATAAAATTAGGATTCAGACCAAATATTTATGTATTATTG